GCTTTGGAATTCTTAGTTCCAACCTGGGTGCTGTTACCTTTTACTCTGTCACAAGACTTTGAGCGAATTACTTCACTCCTCAGAATCTGTTTCCAACTTTGCAAAGTTGCTATGAAAATTAAATAAGTACAAAGTAGGCATTAAGTGGCAATTAATATTCCTATTTCCTTATTATACCAAAGGGCAATTCCAAATACATGCTAGCCAAGAGTGAGATTTTACTTGACACAATTCTGACAATACAAGTAGTAAATGTAAAGGATGAGATCTGTACAGCACATGGTTGCTATCCTGACACATGGGAGGGGGGCGTGGAACCCACACACACACAAGTTTTACAAATTCCTAGTGTATGATGTCAACATTCTCTAAATAAAACAGATGCTAATGATCAAACTGCATGATGACTTCTGCTCATTCCTTCACCATAAATAATCACAATCCTTCAAGATGAAGAAAATGTCCTAATTTACTTTCTCTAAGTTTGGGGGTGGCTAGGAGTTCTTCAATGACCTTCTTGGCTTTCCAAAGTTAACTGTGACAGTAATTTTCAAAAGAAAAAGAGCACTGAGTCTGCTGTAACCATTCTAAAAATCTATATTTATAAAAGCCTAAGCGACCATTCCACCATTCAACCAGTAGCTATGATGCACACTGACCACCAGGGGACAGATGCTCAACGAGCAGGCATGGAAACATGGAACAGACTGATGAATCTCAGAGGGAATGGGGCAGGGGAAAGGACGGGAAGAGATTAACCAAAGATCTTATATGCATACTAGAGGCCTGGTGCACGGATTCGTGCACTGGAGAGTCCCTCAGCCTGGCCTGCAGGGATCAGGCCGAAACTGGCTCTCCGACATCCCCTGAGGGGTCCCGGATTGTGAGAGGGTGCAGGCCAGGCCAAGGGACCCCACCTGTGCACGAATCCGTGCACCAGGCCTCTAGTATAATAATAATAATAATAATAATAATAATAACACATTCTCATTAAAATTATACTGTTATTAATATCAGCTATCTCTTATGGAGCATTTACTATATTCAGAGTTCTATATAGGTAAGCTTATAACATTCTGCATGAAGAACAAATGATTATTACTGCAAGAAACAAATTCCAAAATGAAAAAGAAAATTTGCTTCTTAATGGTTACAAAACCCAAATTTAGAGCTGAACACAGTATTGTTGGCGGCAAGAACAGCACCAGGTGTTATACTGGTGGAGTCAGACCCAATCTTGTTTCAGCAATTTTGGTATCTGAGTTCTGGCTAAGAAAGAATTCAGAGCCAAGACTCAAACTATAAGAGAAAGTTTATTTTAAAGGTCACAGAAGTAGAAGTGAGCGGTAGAAGGACTCAAGAAACAAGATACAGAGGCAAAAGAAGGGCTCTTGGAGCTTAGAAAAGAGAATGGTAAAGGAAATGTGCCTGGGGGTTAGCAGGGGGCGGATTGGGAAAGGCAAGGGCATGCTCCTCTCCTGAGGAAAGCATGCTGGGTCCTCTGTCCTAGGGGCCTTTAAAGGAAATTTTAGGGAAGGGCTCAGGGGAGGATCTCAATAAAATATTCATCAGCTTTCCAGGTATGTCCTTTTAGGGTCATGGTCTCCGATGACTGGTTGGCAGATTGGTTGGCGCCAGAGCAGGGGTTCATTATCCAGTCCTGGTCCTGAGGTCAGCTGAGGTGTCACTTGTCCGGTTTTGCTGCTTTTCTGGGCCTGAAGCTGAAACACAACTGAGTCCTAGATGTATTTGATGTGGGTCAGAATCTCACTGTCCTGGGGGCTTAATGCTTAAGGGCCATTCTCCAGCCCCTTGTCGGTTCCCCTTCTAAGGGGGTCTAACTGGCATGACTAGCAATCTGCCTGGGGAGGAAAGATTACCCTGGGGGGGCATGAGTTCCTTGTTTTCCCAGTTTGATCCTTTGCTAGGCACCTGGGGCTTTCCGCCCTGGTGACCTTTTGTACCTGGCCCGTCGTCCTTGTTCTGTCCATGTTGGTCTAACTGCCTACCACAGTATTGCCTCCCAAACTACAAAGCAAACAAACAAAAAAAGGTATGACCGCTCAAGAGTCTATACCTAAAAGTTCCCCCTAGATTTCCAGAGCCCTCACCCTTCCTAGAGTTCCTAGGGGAAGGAAATTTAACAGCACCATCTCTTCTCCCAGAAATTAAGACTTATTTTACCACTCTCTGCCCTTTTGGTCCTCCCTCACCACACTCCCATGTTTAAGAGCCTCAATAATAAAGTCAGAGTTTAAGCCTAAAGTGACTCCTTAGCCAACCTCTGTTGGCCTCAGGCTATGGAGGTGGGTGGGCTCCCTTCCAACCTCTGTTAAGTCCTGCTTTTCACAGGACTGAGAAAGCAGCGAGGAGGGTCAGAAGAGATCTCCCACACACTATTACCAGAAGCCTCCCAGGATCTCCTCAGGGAGAACCTCGGGTAATTCCCTTCGAGACACCAGGGGAAGTAAGGGCGGAAGCACACAGAGCCACTTCCCGGTTCATCCTGATTAAGACAAGTCTAGTGCAGAAGTAAATGCAATCGGCCGGCACAAAACCTCCATACAAAAATGGGCACAATCTGTGTATGTGTCAGCGCCCTGGGAGCCATTCAGGTGTCTGTGTTTCCACTAAGTGTGTCATTTCCATAAGTACCTTTACCTTCTATAAAGTGCTTCAAAAAGTAGAACAAAATAGTTAAAACTGGTAACAACTGCTATTTGTTACACTAATTAGTCAGGAGTTACAGGGTTTCTTGAAGTGGTTCATTTAAAACATTACCGCATTTTAATCTTTTTTTTTTAATGACACAGCAAAGGTGTCGAATACAGCCCTGGTTCACGGAAACAGCTCCCGATTTCCCAGCACTAAGATACATTTAAAACAACTGTCACTTCAGAATCCAGAATAAAGGCTATGACTCTTGTGACCGTCCACCCCAAGGGCAGGACTACTGAACCAGTTTCCACTCCACTCTTTTTGCTGAAGAGAAGAACTTCAAATAAAATCTGTGCTGTGAACAAGATATTCAAACAAGAAGCTCCTCCCATTGCTTCCCCAGCAGTGAGCATCCCTGGAGATCTGGCTTCTCCTTCTGAGGAGGCCACAAGGCAAAAAGAGGGTGTGTGCACTCAGAGATCAGGAAACCCCTCCTCTTAGGGAAGCTCTGCACACCGAGCAAAGATTTATTAAATACACCATGGCCGACATTTTTTTCGATACACACACACACACACACACACACACACACACACTAAAGGCCCGGTGCACAAAATTCATGCACAAATGTGGTTCATAGGCTTGGTCTGCGATCAAAGCGAGAGTGTCTGGCGTGGAAGGGCAGGTCCCAGCTGACCTCTGGGCCCTGGGCAGCACCTGGGCCCCAGGCACCCTCCTCCGCCTGAGTCACAGCGCCTGAGTCCCCACGCAGAGATGCGGTGAGCGGGCTGGGGCGTAGCGTGGGCCTCTGGGCTGCCCAGTGGCGCTGCACAGAAGCCAGGTGGGCAGTGCGCTCTCTCCCGGCCAGACTGGTTCCTGCATGAACCCACGGGGAATCTGACCAGCCACTGCGGTCCCAGGGGCTGCGGCCCAGCTCACCTGGAAGAGGCCGCACAGGTGCAGGGCGGGCTCCTCGTGGGCGCCCAGCACCTGAGCACGGGGGCTTCCCCAGAGCACATGCCATAGCATCCCAGGGGAGTGTAGCAGGGGGAATGAGAGCAAGTTTGGCGGATACCCCGAATTCTCACCACACCTCTGTCCCCGTCACCCGCGCCCCCAGGTGGCCAATGAGAGGTCACAGCACATCGCCAACGCCCGCCATGTTCCGAGCCGCCCCCTGGTGGTCAGCCCACGTCATAGCAAGTGGTTGAACTCCCGGTTGAGGGGACAATTTGCATATTAGGCTTTTATTATATAGGATATTAATGTAAAAACATTCAAACCTGTGAAGAATTTTTGTGAGTTTATTTGAGCCAAACTGTCCACAATTGCCAGGAAGCAAAATCTTAACAGATTGGGGTAATGCTCCAGAGAATGGCGTTGTTGTTTTTTTCATCTATTTTTATACATTGCAATCAAAGGAGGGGACATAGGTGAGTTACATGAAATCCACTGATGATAGATTAGACAGGCAGGAGAAAGAAAAGCAGGGGAAACCTCTGGGATTGGATAAAAAGTAAAATGATAGACACACACTTAGGTGGGTACAGGAACAATTAACATGATAACAATGAAGGAATATGTGGTATCTGTCCTGGCGCCCAGGCACATAGGGTTGTGCCCCAAGGGGTCCTGAAAAGGGGAAGTTACAAGTTACCTAGATATTTCAGGGATATGTTATCATGGATGCAAAAAGACAGATAGGTTCAGTGAAGGAAAAGGTTGACCCTGTCAAGGAAAATATGGGCCCAGGAGGTGACTATCCACCATAACTGCTTTTAGTTAAAGTTTAATTTCAGACCATCCTTCGTGGTTAACTTAGGTCTCTGAGTTTGCAAGACCATCATGCAGACCTTCCCTGAGCTTGTCAGATCAGCATGTGGCCCCTTTCATCCACATATATATAATTTTTTTATTATTATTTCAGAGAGGAAGGAAGAGGGACAGAGAGCTAGAAATATCAATGATGAGAGAAAAATCAGTGATCAGCTGCCTCCTGCACCTCCCCCACTGGGGGTCAAGCCTGAAACTCAGGCATGTGCCCTGACCTGGAATCAAACCTTGACCTCCTGGTTCACAGGACACTTAACACTGAGCCACATCTCTGCTTCTCAGGCTATCAGTCTTTCTTGAACTATAATCACAGGTAACATCAATCCCACCGGCTTAAAGCAATTCAGAAAAACAGGTCAAGTGTTACCAAACTTAATGACAAATATGTAGCAATCAATGTCCTTTGACCAGACTTGGTGAGATTAGCAAGGTACCTTTCAAAACAAGGTTCCTTTTACACCATTTGAAACAAAGAGAAGGGAAGGAACCTCTACTTATTAGGCACCTACCTTAGTAGAGCCATTCCTCAGCATCATAGACATTCTCCCACTTCGTCTTGCCAAGTCCCTTTTGCGTATGAGAAAACGAAGGCTCGGTTTAAGTAATCTGCCATAACTGCAATCAGTAACTGATAATGCCAGTATGATCTCATTGTTGCTGCCTCTCATGCTCTCAAACTGGCAAGGTTTCACCGAGACTGCACTGTGGCCACAGAATGATAGATAACTGTGCAAAACAAACTACACAGTCATCTGCAAACTACCTGTACTGGGTATACGGGGCAGGAAAAAACACTTTTTTCCCACTGATTCAAAAGATAGTCTTTTCACACATGTTAGATATGAGCTCGGCCTAGGAGGATGCATATAACCTGGAGAGAAATCTATTAGAGGGCAGCAAACAGGAAGACCAGAGAGGACGGACATTCCAGGTGAAGGGAAAAACTGAGCCAAGGTGCAGAGGTGCGAGGGCCCAGGATGAGGGGGGAGAATGAGCGGTCCAGTCCCTTCAGCTTCACCCTGACTTCTCCCTGACAGGAGTGGGAAATGTTTTATGGTTACAAGTAAGTACCTCATAAACTTCTGAGATGTTACTGCATACAATTAGGAGAGTATGGACACAACACTGTTGTCTCAATAAAAATCAGAAAGAGAGGGTGTTCTCACTTTTGACAAAAGACTCCAGCTGCTAGATCGCTACGCGAGCACAAAGCTTTCCCAGCTGTGTGCTCACCAAGGTTGACAAGGGGCTCCCTTGGCTCAAACACACGGATCCCATTTTGCACATACAACCAGTTCATTCACTCAACCCACAGTCACTGAATACCTTCTAGGTGCCAGGCACCGTGCTGGTGCTGGGAATTCAAAGATGAATTGACCTTGATCTTGGCTGCCCAAAGCCCAGAAAGACACAGCCACAATAAGTGCTATACAATGAGTAGCAAACAGAGAGTGACTGGTGACAATTAACTAGCTCCATATTCAAAGGGTAGCAGCAGGAACATTTTTTTTTAATTCACCTTTTTGTCCACATCTAGGCCTGATTCTGATAAGGCTGCACCTATTTCTACTTTATGTATTTGTCGACATTTTCATAAAGCTATTGAATTCTCACCCACCTCTCCATTTTCACAGATTTCAGTACTTTCTTCTAGGATTACGACATCTAAGAAAAATAATCAACTAGACTAGCTCAGAGACAGTCCTTTAAACGAATGCCTTTCTATCAGTCCTGTATCATGCCCCACATCTGTGTGCCATATTGTCTATTTAAGAAAGTCTACTCAAAATTGTCAAGTCAGAACACACAATAACATCACCATCCTCCCAAGTATTTAAGATGTCCCTTTCTGGTAAATTTTCCTAGCATTCCATGTACCATACCAAAGCTAGGGATACGGTACCCATCTAGTCCTGGAGACAGAGTATTATTTTTCAAACCTGATGCAAAGCATTCCCTTCTAGGACTACTGCATTTTCAGCAAGTTGTTAAAATATTTGGGGCTTAAACAGGAAATTGGAAAATGATGTTAGCATTCTTAAAAATACTAGATATAAATTTAAAAGCAAAACTAGAGTATTAAGAGCTAAGCAAAGAATGGAATGTTAACCATATTCTGATATGAACGCTTCACTCAGTTAAGCACTGATCTATGTATCAAGATGGCTCAGATATCTAACTCTGAGACCAGTACAATAAAACAATACAATTTGGAAATATATTTGCCTTGCCTCACCACAAATCATCATAGTTTTACATTAAGTTGCTGCAAACAGACTAATATCTGACAGTCATAACAGAGTTCACTACCAACGTGTAGGAACTAACAATGGGTTGGTGGCCCAATAAACCAACACAGTGCTGTAACTGCATGCCTAGCCTCCGCTTCCAAGCACCTGTCCTGAAGCAGGAGAGTGGCTTCTCACTTGAATGGCTTGTGCCCAGCGTGTGGACACACTGCAAAGACCCTTAAAATATCATCATCCGTCTCTAAACACCAATCTTGCTTCCCCATCAGCAGGACTCAGCTTCTCTCTGCCATCTCAGAGTTCCCATTTCTCCTACGCGAGAGCATAAGAAAACACAGATACAAACAGCTGGGTTTCACCTCCATTCTCTCCCTGGGCTTGTTTCATAGCGGAACCACTCAGTCCTTCCCTAATTATCCCTCTCAGCACCTGGAAAAGGCTCTCTTAGTGCACCTGCTCCCAGACACATCTCTCTTCACTCTTGAAAATCTCTCTAGAAAACTCATTCTGTGAAGAGTCTCATTAGTAGCCCACACTTCCAGCTATCCCATTAAAAAGGATGCTCACAATACATGACGGTGGTATAACAATGAGCAGCCTACAGGGTCTCACATCTGCATCTTTATTAAATGCCCTAACAAAGCAATAAGGCGGACAGGCCTTTCCCTAGCTTCACACATGAGGGAACTGGGAGCTCCCCCAGAACATAACCACATTGTGATCAATTCTGCATCCTTAGCAACTCGCACAGACAATGCTTACTAAATAAGACAGCAGGAAAGGGTTTGGGGGTGGTGGAACAGAATCAACATTAGGTTTTCTGATTGCCAACCCAACGATGAAAAGAAAATACAAAGAAAAAAACAGAACAGTAGGTTAAACATGAAATGAAATACATATTACAAACTAGAGGCCTGATGCACGAAATTCGTGCAAGGGGCTCGGCCCTCGCAGCCCTGGCTTTGTCCAGAAGGTCATCCAGAGGGTCGATCCACTGTTCGGCCATCCAGTCTAATTAGCATATTATGCTTTTAATTTTATAGAGTAGAGGCCCAGTGCATGAATTCGTGCACCAGTGGGGTCCCTCAACCTGACCTGCGGGATCGGGTTGAAACTGGCTCTCCGACATCCCCCAAGAGGTCCCAGATTGTGAGAGGGTAGAGACCAGGCCGAGGGACCCCACCAGTGCAAGATCGGGGCTGGGGAGGGATGCGGGAGGTTGGCCAGTCAGGGAGGGACCGCAGGAGGGCTCCAGGGCATGTCCAGCCTGTCTCGCTCAGTCCCGATCAGCTGGACCCCAGCAGGAAGCTAACCTACCAGTTGGAGAGTCTGTTCCCTGGTGGTCAGTGCACATCATAGTGACTGGTCAACCAGTCGACTGTCTGCCCCCTGGTGGTCAGTGCACATCATAGCAAGCGGTTGAGCAACCTTAGCATATCATTAGCATATTACGCTTCGATTGGTTGAACGGACAACCCGACACTTAGCATATTAGGCTTTTATTATATAGGATATCTAGTTACTCACATCCAAATGTGACTAGCCTGACAGATATGTAAGTCCACAGTAGGATATAGATATAGAGTTATTCCAGAACTAATTATTCTACAGCCCTCGCCAGTTTGGCCCAGTTATTCCATTGTGACAGGTTCTGATCACAAGCCCCTAAGTGTCCAACATCTGGTACTTTTCACTTAGAATGCTGGAAATGAACTGGGGTCATCATCATGCCCAGGATAACCCCCATTCCCAAGAAAGCAACAACTACTTGCATTTCTCCAGCTTACTCATAGATTTTACTACTTTCAGCCCTCTATCAGGGCTGCCTCTGAGAGGGAGAGCAGTCAAAGGAAGGGCTTAGCACAGCCAAGATGTACTCATTAATCTTAACTAATGTCTGGAGGAGGTCACTGTTGTCATTGGTAACATCACTCTTCCCCTACAAATAAGGCATCTGACAGGTGATCGCTGGAGACCACACTGCTCAAGGCCATACTGCATGCTGAACTCTGCATTCCTCAGACAGCACTGGCTCGAAGCTCCTTCCTCACTCCCACCAGTCCATCTGACCCCTTGTAGAATTCCCCAGAGCAGATCTTTCTGACTTCAGAGGAACTCTCCTCTCAACAGTGCCAGAGATTCATACAGAGTTCAAAGGGTCCCAGCCCTGAAAGCCTCCACTAAAAAGAAAGCAAGAACAGCTCCCCTCAAAATATGTCCACACAGAAACTTGTGCATGAATGCTCACAGCAGCATCATGCAGAACAGCCAAAAACTGGACACATCGTAAATGTCCATCAACTGAGAGATGGATTTATAAATGGAATATAGCTACACAATGGAATATTATTCAACCATTAAAAGTGATGAAGTACTGACACATGCTACAACATGGATGAACCTTGAAAATGGCATGCTAATGAAAGCCAAGTCACAAAAGGCTACATATTATATGACTGATTTCATTTATATGAAATATTCAAAATAAGTAAACCTACAAAGAAAGTAGAAAAGTAATTGCTGGGGGGTGGGGGGAGTAGAGAGTGACTGCTAACAGGTAAGGGAGAAAGAAAAATGCTCTCAAATTAAATACTAATGATGATTACACAACTCTGTAAATATACTAAAAACCACTCAATTATAGACTTCAAAAAGAATGAATTTTATGGTTTGTGGATTATATTTTAATTAAGTTATTTAAAAAAAAACACACAAAAAAAACTCCTAAGATAATTGTAACAAAGCAATGGCAGAAGCCCAGAAGGGATATAACCCAGTTGTAGTTAAACTGTTAATTAAATCAAGAAAGCCAAATAGTGAGGTTTTTAAGAAGTCTTTCTAAATTCAGCTTAAGATTTCACAAACAGTAAAACCTTAAAAACGCAAAAGTCAAAGAAAAGCCAAGATCATTTCCAACAGATAAAGAAACAAAGCCGTAGGTACACATATGACTTTAGATAACCCATACAGAATGAATAAAAAAAATAGGTGTCAGAAAGACCTTCTAGTAAGTCTTCTTGTCTGAATTAAACTTGACATCCCCAGCTACCATTTTTTTGCCCTAAATATGAATGGGTTACAGTAGATCAAGCATGTCAAACTCAAAGACTAACACAGTCCAAATAAACAAGGTTTAAGTTTATGTGGCCCGCAAAAAAAACAAAAGCTTCAATTTTTTTTTTTTCCAGAGAGGAAGGAGAGGGAGAGAGCTATAGAAAAATCAATGAGAGAGAATCATTGATTGGCTGCCTCCTGCACGCCCCCTACTGGGGATCGAGCCTACAACCTGGGCATGTGCCCTTGACCGGAATTGAACCTGGGACCCTTCAGTCCGCAGTCTGATGCTCTATCCACTGAGCCAAACCAGCAAGGGCCAATTTTCATAGAAATGTAGGCTTATTTCAATAGAGACATGCTGAATACAAAGGGCTGAAATAAATAAGTAATCATTAACATAAAATAATAGAACATTTTAATAAAAATTAATGTTTTCTTGAACATTAACTTACCAGTCACCGAATAACTGCACAAATTAATAAGCGTAAC